TAACAGGGTGTCATCTTGACAGTAGGTAGGATCCTGAACCCAGTCTACAAAATATTAAATTGCAAATTTTCCTGTGAAAATCTTTTTCCTAGATTCTTTCCCTTTAAATGCTTTAGTATCAAAGTAGAAAACAAAATAAGGGAATTTTGAACATTAAAAAAAATTTAACTTCTGGACTTTGATGAACCAATTTTAGGATCTAACTACATCCCTCCTTACTCGGCCAGGTCAGAAGCAGCAAAGGTGGGATGGAGCGAAAGTGCCCACTGCTGCTTTCTGCCACCTTTCAAGAAGGGCATTTCTTTCTTTTTTTAAAGATTTATTTTTATTATTTATTTTATTTTTGGCTGCATCGGGTCTTGGTTGAGGCATGCGGGATCTTCAGTTGCAGCACGCAGGCTTCTCTAGTTGTGGCATGCGGGTTTTCTCTCTAGTTGTGGCACATGGGCTCCAGAGCGCGTGGGCTCTGTAGTTTGCAGCATGCGGGCTCTCTCGTTGAGGCACGCGAGCTCAGTAGTGATGGCGCACGAGCTTAGTTGCCCGGCGGCATGTGGCATCTTAGTTCCCTGACCAGGGATAGAACTCGCGTCTCCTGCATTGTAAGGCGGATTCTTTACCACTGGACCACCAGGGAAGTCCCAAGAAGGGCATTTCTTCATACGATGGCTGCTAGCCCCGTGGATATTTAGAAATTTTCTCTCCCATGAGAGAACACCCTTCAACTTTTGGAACCGCATATCCAGCATATTGGTAAGGTGGGTAGATGTTCTTAAGTCAGGGACTTACTGTCCAGAGACAGACAGACAAACAGAGGAAGTCAAAATATCTTGTGGGGCTTGTCCTTGGAAAAATAATTATACCTTCAAAGATTCACTTTTTTGATATGACATAAATAGGAACAATATATTCATCAAGTCAGATATTTTTCTGTCTTCCCTGCAGGGAAATTTCTGTAATCAGCATGCTTGTTTTGTTCTAATATGTAGGAATCTTTGCTTCACGGCATAAGGAAGATGGGGGTGTGTGAATATCACGGTGTTAAGATTTTGCCTGGGCCCATTTTGCTCCCTGATTAACTTTGTGGCCAAGTGACATTGCTTTCTACTAGATTAATTTGGAAATCACTGTCCCTTCTTACAGTTGAAATCACTTTCCTGCAACTTTTGCTCTTTTAGACCAAAGTACTAGATTTATGCCTTAACTCAGCTGAATTTATTGGACAGTAGGCGAGCATGCAGTGTCTTACTTGCAGATTGGGGCAAGGGGTCTGTCACATCTTTCTTTCCTACGAGTTCCATTCAAGTTAGCTATGAAAGCACATTATGCCACTGAACACCAGATGTGGCAGGTTCTTACGGCTTTGTGAACAGGTTTGCCATTTTTGTTTGGGCTGCTGAGTCAGGAAATTGACATTCCACTGTTGTGGTTTTAAAAGTATTTGCTGTGACTTCATTTTTTTCTCCCCTCTGACAGCTGAAGCAGAAAGGTGGATCAGCTTCCTTGATTCCAATGATCTTCCCTGTAGTATACTGCTGATACGCTACTGTGTCAGATGAGTTATGTGAAGTAGAAGAAAATGTCACCTGGTAAATGTGACAGTGTTTGAGGGAGGCCTTGAAAGATATTTCTTGTCATTGATGGGTCTCCAAGAAATGTTTTTTTTAAGGACAGGTAGAATTCTTTTGAAATATTTGAATTGGATTTTTTTTTTCTGCCGAATTGGCTGAAAGATTACCATGCAAATGCCAACTTTTGTTTTTAAAAGAGACATAAATTGAGAAAGTCAGTGTAATATTCTACTTGCTTTCATTCCACACTGAGAGTTATTGGAAGGTGTTCTTCAGGGCACTTGAATCCTTCTCTGTTTTTTCTTATTGTCATACAGTAGATCACATCTCAGAAAGACCAGGTTCTCACTGCCACATGGAGAGAGATTTGAGACAATGACGGGATAATATCTGGTGACAATGTACGTCTTCATGTTTACAGGTTTTGTGTTGTGAATTGGTGAACGAAGGCTTAAGTACCTGTGACACTTTCAAAGCCTTTTTTTTGCGGTACGCGGGCCTCTCACTGTTGTGGCCTCTCCTGTTGCGGAGCACAGGCTCCGGACGCACAGGCTCAGCGGCCATGGCTCACGGGCCCAGCCGCTCCGCGGCATGTGGGATCTTCCCGGACCGGGGCACGAACCCGTGTCTCCTGCATCGGCAGGCAGACTCTCAACCACTGCGCCACCAGGGAAGCCCTCAAAGCCTTTTGATTACAGAGAACTGCCTGCAGTTTCTGGCCATCTGGTGAAGTTGAGTTTAGTTTTCTTTTAATTCAGTATTTGTTTCATAATAGCTTATTATTATTTTTTAAGTGTACAAGGTTTCCTGATAAATCACCTTTATCTTTTTACCACATTGAGAGAATCTGAATCACAGTTAAAATATAAAATGCTCGGGCTTCCCTGGTGGTGCCTTTACTGGAGCCAAGAAGAGACCGGATGTAAGTTTATTGCCTTAGATTTAATGAACAGAAACTGGGATATGAAACTGGATGAGAAGGAAACCAATGGTACTTCTGTTAGCATTAGAAACATACCTGAAAGAAACATAACATAGATAAATAGGGAGAAGAAGGAAAGCTTGCCCAGCAATGAAGAAAGACTTGCCAATGCTAAGTAACTTTTTCTGTATGTGGTAGCTGACATCTCCTCTTAAATACACCCTTTTCTGTCCTTCACAGCACACCTCAGGCTCTGAGTAACCAGGTTTGATCTGCAAGATGAATTAGGAAAACCTTAGGGACACAGAGGGAAACAGACGGTAATCTACAGGGAGATGAATCACCCGTCCAACTTGAAAATGCCTGGCTCCATCCTAGGTCAACTCCTGTGCTAATAGCATTTGTTTGCTACCTGATTTATCCTCCGGGAAATCTACTTCTGCAGAATATGTGAAAAGAGCAAGAATTTAGGAAGGGTGGAGGCAGGTGGATGAATGGGAATATGATTTGTATTAGAAATAATACCAGAAACAAAAAGATACATGTATTCTTTTGGAGTTGATGAGTTGATATATTTCCTGGGAACATTTACTAGAATCCTGCCCTGGTTCAGAAAGATTGACTAATCCAAAACTTGATGTGGCTCAAATAATCTGAAATTTGATACAACTCACGTTTTACGGGACCCAACCCAAACATGAAATAGAAAAATTTGATTTATTTTCTGAAATTGCGCTTATAAAATTAATATTTGCTTTGAAAAAGTGAGACTCCATATTCCTGCATTCACTCTATGCCCTTATCATTCTTTCTGTGGATTTATCAGACCAAAATACACACAACATATGTGTGTACATTTGTGGTACATGGCTGCATGCAAACATCACACAGAGGTTGCTGGAAGCTGAGTGATTAGCAGGAGAGGAGGCTGAAAGGAAGATGGTTTATGAACTGGGTGAACTGCTAAGATATCCAAGAGTGGCCAGGAATGACGCTATACTCAGGAAAAAAATGAAAACCAAGGAACAAATGAAGAGAAGCAATATAATGAGAAAGAGGAAACCAGAGTAACTTTGAGTAGAAGGATGAGAGGGCCTTCTTCCTCTTTAGCCAAGCCATAATTCTACCTGGGATCTACAAGTTTCGAGAAAATGACTTTGCCAGCACACTGCTGAGAACAGTTGACAACTACCAAGAAACCTATGGATGGAGAGAGATATGAACAGCACAGCACCCAGTTGGAGCCGAGAGAGTAAAACAACGGATCCACTCATCCTTTGGTTCTTTCTTGATTTTTCTATCTCAGACACTATTCTATGTCCAGGAGACAGAGCTGTGAAGAAACAGACAAGGATCCTCCCCAGTGAATCTCATGTAGGCAAGGGTGTAGGGGAGGATTGGGGAGGGAGTTATCAATAAACAAACCCAACAATGAGATCCTCTCAGACTGACGGGTAGGGCCTGGGTGCAGATCTAGGTTGGCTGATCACAGGTCTTCCCTGAGGTGGTAACTTTGAAGCAAGGTCTGAATGTTGGGTGGAGCCAGGCATGGAAGATATGGGGTTGGATATTTTGCAGTGAATATTAGTTACCAAAATTGGCCCATAATTATCCTGGTCATCTCTAATACATACAGAGTTGCAAAATGACATCCTACTAAAAGCATTTCTGACAGTTCTGGCAACTTCCATGTAAATGTTGCATTAAATATAATGCAGTATATGCCCTAGTCATTCTTTGACTTTTTAAAAATAAAATCCATCCAGTTCCCTCTCATACTCAGGCATATGTCTCCTGTTAAGATAATCATCTTCCCTTCTGATCTTCCAGTATTAATTACGGCTCCTTTCAATGTTGGCGCTCTCAAGGTTAATTTGCAAAAACAAAAACATGTTTGGGCTACGTAGAAAGTTTTCTTTAGAAAAAGATTATACTAAACGTTTGTCTTGGCAGGAACAAGTATTTTTTTTTGCCTGTGATTCAAAACTATCTGTGTTATTTCGTACCTGCTTTCAAGTAGCCGAGCTACATCTTACGTGATAACCAAAATGCTATATTTCTGCTCGTGACTATTTACATATTGGCAAATTTCCCTGTAATGACATCTCTTCATGTCTTAAGAGCAGGGGTGCTGCCTGGCTTGGCTTCGGGCTGTCTTTCCAAGGATGTGTGCGCAGTGAACAGACTTGGAAGACGGCAGAGAGCTCTCTCTGCAGCAAAGGCAGGTCTGAGTACTGTCCAGCGTCATAAAGGTAACGTCTTCCTCTGGGCAAAGGTCAGGCAGGCTTACTGCTCATTATAAAGGATTTGGGTTCCTTTCCATTATGCAATTGACTACCTATGCAGGCAACACCTGCCTTCTTCATGGCACCTGGTGGGATTCAGGATTCAGAGAAATGGTGCAAATACAGATTCTCTGGCCACTGCTGCATCTGTGGGTAGTGAAGTCCTTTGTTTCTGACCTGGGAGTTTCATGTCTTCTTCCAGCATTCATAAATCTGTTAGGCACACTCGTTGACTTGTATTCAGATAAAGTCTTAGACGCTTCACAATTCTTGACAACCAACGTGTTAAGCATCTTTAATCTCAAACATGGTATATAATGAATGATAAAATACAGTTCACAATAGACCACTGATAGAAGTATAAACAGATTCCCCTGAAGGTATGTCTGAGGGACAGATAATTCCGGCTGGAGAACATATGGGAAGTTTTAGAAATTAGAATTCAGTGGAGCGCTTGGGGAAGGGCAGGGCTTTTTCAACCGTTGGAATAACAGGGAAGTGCATTCCTAGCAGTGGGAATAGTTTGTGTAAAGTCTAAGAGCATGTTTGCCAATGAGAGACTGGTTACAGTGGGAGTAGGGCCATCGGGAGAGAATAAGGAGAAATAAGCCTGGAAAAAAAATAAGTATCCAAATTTGGGGGGACTCTGAATTCTGTGTAATTTTTGCTTTTCTTCTTCATTAGAATCATGGAGGATTTTTTTTTTTTTTACAAGAAAGTTTCACACTTTGTACTTTGCATTGAAGAACTGGCTTTGGTACTGGAAAACAACAACACTTAATAAGATAATTTCTAGTCTTCCAAAACGAGGGTTGGCATTGTCTTAAATATTCTACACAAAGGGTGATTTTTTTTTCTTTACTGCTTTCAGAAAGAGAAGGCATGCACACGAGCACTGTGGATAAACTGCACAGTTCACCACCCTCGCATAGGTAAGAGAGGTAGTATCACTGGGATGATGAGAAATCAGGGCGTCTCCTCTATTTCCTGTGTAATCTATGACTCCAGGAAATGGTAGATACCTATCGAGACAGAGAAGCACAACTTCCCTTGTAACCAGCAGGACTCTGTGGCCCTACGGGGCCTTTCTGGGACAGAACCCTCCCCCATATCTGCTGTCACTCCTCTCTGAAGTACCCAGAAGTACCCAGATAATAGTATCTCATGCGTATTTCTTGAGTTTTTCAGATGCTAGAAACCACAACCAAATGGCAGAAATTAACTACCTGATGGTCATGAGCGCATAGCCCCTAGACCTGGTGCCTTAGGATTGATATTGTTAACCACCTTATGACCTCAACATCAACCAATCAGAGAATTGCACATGAGGTGATCACACACCCTGGGATGCCCTTCCTTCACCTGGCCTTTAAAAATGCTTTGCTGAAACACTTCGGGGAGTTTGAGCTTTTCTGGGGGTCCACGAGCCACCCATTCTCCTTGCTTGGCCCTGCTATAAACCTTTCTTTGCTCCAAACTCCGATATTTAGGGTTTTTTGGCCTCACCGTGAGTTGGGCACCCTTTAGAAGCAGATTTTCAGACCCGTGAGGCTTATTCAAGGGGACAGCTCAGTTTCTTTGCACAGCAACTTTCTTCCTTCTACAGAAAAGGTAGTCTGGCTAAATATATATATATATATATATATATATATATATATATATATATATATATAATTCCCAGAAATACAATCTGAAGATTGCAGCCTTCATCTCTTGAAAGACCTTAGTAATTGTCAATGATTTGAAGGTACACTCCAATGTCACATCAAGGACCATGCTTGCTAGAAACAGCTCATTTACACTCAGAGGGAAATAGTCAGAAATAAAATGTGGGAATGTAGCTTTTCAGATATATTAGCAGTTGATTCTTGATAGAATTGATGCTAAAAAGTTCTAGCATTGATGATATTTATCCCAATAGCACAATGTGGAAGCATCAAGGTCACTTCCTAAATGTTCTTTCACTATGTTGTTTTCCAGAAGTATAAATATGACAGAGTGTCTAGGAGCTGCCTAACAGTGGTTTTATCATAAATTCTGAATGATGAATGACTTTCAGACAGTCCTAAGCATCCCACAGTGAGCTCTAATAATACCAAAGGAGATTTTTATGATGAATACAAATGACCCCTAAAACCCATAATACATCATGGAGAGTAATATCACAACAAGAAGGGAGAAGAAAATGAACCTCTAAATAAGCATATGCTTTTATGTACTTTGATTGAATTTGTATTCTTTCACTCCCTCAATCCAACAATAAACATTATTATGGAAAATAAGAAAAATATCTTAAATATCTCTGAAAATTTGATCTGTAAGAAAAACTAACATTGCATTTCTATTATAAGACATTTGCATTATAATTTTTACTTATTAGCTAAGTTTAGTATGAAGATCATGCTTTACACATGCTCCCTTCTGAAAAGATTTTTACATGTATTCTCACTTAAACTTTAAAATAACTCTAAGGAAATATTCCCATTTTATAGACAAAGGGACCAAGGCATTAAAATGACACTTTGGCTAGCTCACAGGGTTAGTGAATGATAAAACCAGGAGTAGGAACTTTGGTTGTTTGAAAATTGTACATTAGCCTTACTAACTACCTAAGAGTCACATAAATTAATTTTAAGGCTACCATTCTAGTAAATCTTATTGTGTAAAAAATGATCCCCGAACTTAGAGGCGTTTCATTTTATTTTGTCATGACTTTGTGTGTCAGGGGTCTGGGCAGGGCTGGGCTAGGCTTATCTCACCTGAGACTCTGATGCAGTCATGGTCTGGAGGTCAGCCAGGGCGGCAGTCCTCTGGGGGCTCAGCTGGCCGAGATGTCCCAGAGGGTAACTCACGTAGCTGCGCTGGAGACTGGCTGTTGGCTGGGAATGGAGCTGGGGCTCTCTCTCTGGATGCTCCCAAAGATGCCCCTCCAATGTGTGTTGTCTCAGTGTAGCAGGACCTCTTCCATGATCTGACTTCCCTCAAAAAGAGCACCTGGAAAAAGAATGAGGCAGAAGGCGCAACCTTTTATGATGTGGCTCAGGAAATCATGGCGCCTCCTCTACTATACTCTATTCGTTAAAGCAGTCGCAAGCTCTTTCCAATGTCAGGAGTGTTAAATAATTTGTGGCCTTTTATTTTTAACCACTACTGTCTCTAAGGTCACTTTTCCCCTCTGATTTCATTAAAGAGAAAATTTTTAAAAATTTTTATTGAAATATAGTTGACGTACAACCCTTTGATTTAATTTGAGCTAAATCTCTCTCACATAAGTTTATGATAAATTTTCTAATAAAAACAAAAAAACCCACTAATCCAATTCATTCCTTTAGAGGTAAGATAAATTCTAGGTAATTTTTATCAACTAATTTTAAGGTAAGAGACCTGCTTAATTTGCCTTTACGTTCAATGTTTTATGTTCTTAATTTTGATTAAGAGAAGGACATTCTAAAATCAGTCAGGTCTACAAAGACTAACTACAGAAGAAAGTGATAATTTCAAAAAGAAGAAGAAAACAGATCACAAAGCTTTTGCTCTTGGTAAATCCTATTGCTCCGTGGTCAGCTCAGGGCTTTTTTGTGAGGGAAACATGACCTCTGCATAAATGACAAAAAGGATAATGGAGTAAACATCTGTGAAGTTTATATAATCGTTATCAGTTTTTTCTTAATGACAGTTCAGTACCTTTTTCTAAAACCGAGTAGAAAGAAAGTAGCTCACCTAGTTGGATTTAAAGCATTCCCTCTAACTAATGGTGCTATGCAGTGAATGATAATATTGCCTATCTCAGGATGCTCTGTAGCTGGTTCAACATCTTTCAGACAGTGGTACCCACACACGACAGGCCACTCCATGTATCAATTATTTCTTAAACTCAGTTGAATGCTTAGAAATGATAGGTGGGAAAAGCCATTGCAATTACATTTAAGATAATAATTTTATCCTATGCAACAGTTTACATCTATGTTCTGTGTCAAAGTTTTGAAACGTTTTTGATCAGATTTTGGTAATATGATCCTCACAACAACCTTGGAAGGTAGACAGCATCACCATTTGCAGTCACATTTTAATGCTAACTATATAAGGTTGGTTAATTTGCACACAAACTCCTAAAGGTGGTTGGTTAATTTGCACACAAACTCCTAAAGGTAGATGGAGAGAGGACTAGAACTGGGGCCTGATTCCCCCAGTACTCTTTCCATCAAATTACTAACAGAGGAGGAGCCACCATGACAATGGGGAAGGGGAGTCTGCTGGGTTTGTTATTTGGCCAGAATAGGTCTGAGCTATTTCAAAAGCCCAGGTTATCTGGAAAACCCAAGGTATTTCAGGAAAGAAAACATGTAGTGGTTAAAAAAAAAGGGGGGAGGGGAGCATCAGTCTAAGAATTGAAGAACATGCAAATCATATCTTTTCTGTTATTCTCAAGTTTAGAAGATAATTTGCTGCATTAACATTCATGGGCTTTGAGAAAGAAATGGAACAGTCAACAAGATATGACTGCAAATATGTGAAATCATGCAAGTGAAAGATAATATGAAAATATAGTTATCGTTGTGGTAGTTAGTACCCTTGGGAGATATTCTGTTGCTTTTTAATGTTGTTAATATATGGTATTTTCAACTTAAAAATAAATCTGATTGATTCCTCAAAGTCTAGCTTTTGAGGAAAATGATGATGTGGAAAAGCTGGGAAGGTATAAGACATGCACTGCTTCCTAAATAACTATGTGATTTTTGCTCTACTTGATAATTTTGGTGATCTTTTACAAGCAGGTGGTGGAAAAGCGGATTGTATGTGGCTCTAAAGTTGTTTCTACTCAAATGAGGATATGTCTGAATCCACAAACCCCTGTGTGCTAAGTAGTGTTGTTTACTTGAAGACAAAATTAGTCTCTGAGCCCCACTCTGACAGTCTGGTGGCGAAGTCCATTTCAATAACTATGGGTGTCCTTCTGTTCCAAGGTCCTCAAAGTTCCTTGGGTGTGTGGAGACTCACCCAGAACTGACCACACGGGGATGCTCCACCGATTCTGGATGCCTCAAACACGTTCATGTTCCAGCCCCACATGGTCCCCGAGGGTCAGCTTCCATGCTTCGGAGCCACTCAGCACCTTTCACAAGGTTGCGGACTCTGCGATTACAGTCGGGTATCTCTGCAGCTCTTTCCTTCGTGCTCAGAGGCGCTGGTCTCCTGCCTTGGTATAATTTCTCCAGGGGCTCAGGATTCTTGAAAACAAAGGCCAGGCTTTAAAATCTTGCTTCTGCCACTTTGTTTGGGAAAGTTATTTAACTTCTACAAGCTTCAGTTTCCTCATCTGGAAAATGGGGATAATAAAATTGGGTTACTGTGAGGATTAAAGGAGTTAACATGTTAAAAATATTTAGAATGGTCCCCGGTACATGGTAAGTGCTAACTATTGATATTATCATCATCCAAATAAGATAGTTCCTGGAGTTCGAAGGTCGTGAAGCAGATCCGTAAGTTTTGAAATCTCTCTATGTAGAATGTGTTTATACGTAATATTTTCAATACCTAAATGTACACTTTGTTCAATTAAGCTTAGAAGAATAAATAGAAAGAAACAGCAGTTTTTAAAGCAGCTCTGCACTCGTGCATGATTTGGGGAGAATCAGAATAGAAGTAACATTTGTAATGTCCTCCTTACTGCTGGTTAAGATGGTACCAATGGATCTAGGGATATGTTTCCAGCCTATATTTAAATGGACAGGAAATAATAAGACAGCAAGCAGGTGGCTATTAACCCCTCTTGCCCAGTGAGGTATCTGATACTGAGTAACAGGAAAGTATTTTAGAGAAAAAAAATTTTTTTTCTGAGGAAATCCAATCTTTTGTGCAACAAGATAATTCCTCCTCAAGCCAAGGCTCTATCTAAAACACCTCCTCATCCCAGGAGCAGTAGAGTCACAGAGGTCCTTGTTAGAAAGTCAATCACAGCAAATGTTGTGCAAAAAGGAATCAGATCCTGTGTTTTAACATTAGAGGAAAAAAATTAGAAAACTAGGACTCTGTCCTAAACTAATGCAGCAAAGGCAAAATAGAATACTGCTTTTGTTTCTCGTTGAAGTAAAAAAACATTTAATAGAACTAATGAACTAACACTAATGACATTTTGAAATCCCGCTTGTTAAAGTTCATTGTGTTTTGTCTTTAACATACAAATCACAAAAAATTCTACTCAGTTTATAAGTAAATAGGATCATTGATCAAGTTTTACCAGTTAGATCTTGAGTTACAGTATCAAAACAGATCCATGTCTAAAAACTGTTGACCCTTTAATCACATTCAGTTCTCCAGGAGGATCTAGTGTATTTTTTTTTCATTTCATTTTTACCCCAACTATAGAATTTATAATGAGAATGAAGGAAAAAAATGTATTAAACAATATTTTGGGAACTCTTATTTCCTTAGCATTCTCTTTTCCCAAACTTCTTGGCTCCCCTGCAGACACCAAGTACAGTCGACTTTTTCTCTTGCACTGTGCTTCACATCTCTTTATTTTTATTACCAGAATAGCCACTCTAGCCTAGACCTTTACCATCAACCTCATGACCAAATTATTGCAAATGCTCTCATTCTTTTCCCATCTCACTCTGTACAGTATATTGCTCATAGACTATACTTTATAAAACTCATCTCTACTAAAACTCTTCAGTACTTTTCTGTAGGGTTAGATCTAGTTCCTTGAATGACTGGGTCTCATCTCACGTCGTTTCATATTCAAGATCGTACGTCAAGCTGCCTTCCACTATATAATTTCTTCCTGTCCTCGAATTACGGCCTCCATCAAATCAAGTGGGCTTCCTTCCAGCCCTCTGAATATGTGCCGTGGAGACCCCATCTCTGTGCCTTTGCTTGAGTGGTTTTCCCATGCCTAGAACAACTACCTTACTAAAGTCACATTTCTTTGTGTCTCACTAGCATCCTAACTGGTGTGTGAAAATTATTTGCAATGTCTTCTTTTTCTGAATTCCTACAGCATTTCTGGTAACGGTCTGTGTTCATATTAAATAATTCTTTACATTGATTTCTAATTGTTTCATTAAAATAAAATATTCTGTATATTGTGAGAGATGAGTAATTACTCCCAGGATGTATCTATACAGTGAAAATGCAAAGATGATTAGTTCAGATATCTGATGAATTTTAATATTCCTCTACATCCAATTCAGACCTTTCAGAACAAATTGTCCAAGTAGATCAGAGGAGTGGCTGGAGAGGAAAGGAGAAACAAACTGAAAAGCACATCCTCAAGCCCACCTACCTGTACTTAAGCAAATCTCTGCAGGCAGCTCCTGTGGGTGTAGTTTCGGTGCACCTTTGTCTCTCAGAGGTCTTCTGCTGCTGCTTCCGTCTCTGCTTTCCCCATTTTCAACAATCATGAATGCTCATCAAAGGTACTTTTGCTCTGATAGCAGCAAAAATAGTTCAGTTATAAAAATCAAGCTTTATGTTGGTTATGGTCTATGGTCTTAAACTTAGGAATACCTGAATAGTTTTTCATTACAGAGTTTTACATATTTATCTCAGAATGACATGATAGACTTTTTTAATTTTTTTAATCTGAGATTGATTGAGAGAATCGGAAGCGCATGCAATCATCTCTCAGGGTTGCAGGGGAAATAGGATAGTGAGGGTGACCTCCAGATGACAAGGAAGAACACAGGTATTTTTGACGTAGCTTACCTTCTAGTTATAGCTTCAGTGTTAGTTAAGGAAGGGAACTTAGAAATAAAGTTATGTAGTAGAACGAATTGTGGAATCACAAATGATTAAAATTACAATAATTGTAAAATCTGAAGGATGTGATTTCCCTACCAGATACTAATGTATCAGACAACCATAGAGGAGACACGGGGAACAGTAGCCATTTGAATGAAGGAATTTCAGTGGCACAAAGAAGGTGCCCTGCCACTGGAGAGGCTGATGGTCCATTCTGGTTAATAGACTGAAGAATCAAATCCAAGACTTCTGAATGGTATTTCTTAAGACAACATTTAATAAATGCAACCCAAATAAATGCAACCAAAAGTTTTAATGCATGAATGGCAAGCGTATTCAGGAAAAATATGTGCTTGCTGTACTAATTAAGGAAAGATGAACTTTGCCTGAAACAAGGTTCAAATTAGCTTCCGATAAAATCAATTAAATACAGGGAAATAATTCTTGAATTAAAAATTCCAGGGCTTCCCTGGTGGCGCAGTGGTTAAGAATCCGCCTGCCAATGCAGGGGACACGGGTTTGAGCCCTGGTCCGGGAAGATCCCACATGCCGCAGAGCAACTAAGCCTGTGTGCCACAACTACTGAGCCTGCGCTCTAGAGCCCACGAGCCACAACTACTGAAGCCCGTGAGCCTAGAGCCCGTGCTCCGCAACAAGGGAAGCCACTGCAATGAAAAGCCCGAGCACCGCAACGAAGAGTAGCCCGGCTCACAGCAACTAGAGAAAGCCCGCGCACAGCAACAAAGGGACAACACAGCCAAAAATAGATAAATAAATTTTTTAAAAAATTCCAGAAAGCCAACTTTTAAAAAAAATGTGAGATGTAAGATTTTTAGCTTCCAAGGCTCAGTTGAGAGTAATGAAGGAATTTTATAGAGTATTTTATAGAGTATTTAAGGAAAATAGGAAGGACTAAATTGTTTATTACATTGGCCAATTGAACTGTGGGAGGAAATAGAAAAGCCCTACTGGGCTGTGTAAATTCTTCAACACCTGTGTTAAAAGCCCTAATGAAAACACATTAGCAAGTGAAAGGAAAGCCTGCCTAAAATTTGAATGTCAGATGCTTGGAAGATGAAAGAGGATAGAGAGCATGCAGATTACAAATCACTAGGAAGGCTACCAAGAGACGGGAGGAGGAATAGCATTGCGGGGTGGGGTGGGGGGGGGAGCAGAAGGCATCACGGCATTGAAATCTTACTGTGGAAAGTATGTACTTGGTGTTAGGCCACCTACTATTTTTTTTAAATGGCAGTGGAACATATGACAGAAAGTTGACAAGGATAAATCATTCTAAGCTAGGAGTATGAGTACTAACAGGGAGAAATGCAAATTTTAAAACACAGTGATTGTAATGTAAGACTACCCTACTACTCTATTGGTGAAATTTCTCCATTGGGCAAGAATAATTTAGGGAAGGAGAAATGGCTGCAGCCTTGAATCTGAGCAGTGAACAGAAGTCCTCGCTGGAAGTATTTGTGAATTAAGCCACGATATAATAGGAATCAACGTCTTCTTGGAGAGCAAACACTTGAAAAAAATCTATCACTTGGTTACTCAGCTTTAGGAAACAAACCATGATAAAATACAGGTACTGTAAGGCAGAATCAATAATGAGCAGGAAATCTGTACACTGTTTAAAAACACTCTGGAGCAAACCCAGGAAAAGTGTAAGCTATGCATCAGAAAGAACCACCTCCCATCTTTCTTCCTCCTACCCCTTTGCCTAACTCTGACTCTTTTTCTCCCACCAGTTACTGCCCCTCTTTCCCAACTTCTTACACACAGAAACTCACAGATAGCACAGTTACCTGGCAAATAATAAGCCAGTATTATCAAAAATATATCTTTTCAAAGATGGTTATTTTTCCAAATGAGAACCAAAATCCCATATATTGTGGCAGATTAGGAACAAACTAGAAATCTCGAAGGCCAGAAATAATTCAAGGTGTACTAATATTATCCCAGTCTCTCAGGATGAACATCTTGGAGTTCTTTTTCATTCTTTTTCTCCTTCATTCCCTATATCTCCCTTTTTAACCTAATTGTCCCAAACCAAGATTGTAATAAGTACAACTTCTGGAGTACTTCCTATAAATCTGTATGAATATATTTCCTCTAATGCTCAAAACAATGGGTAAGGTAGACATTACAGCTCTCTTCCTGGAAGTAAAAGAATTAAGGCCCAAAGACCTACAGTGTTTGCCCAAGGCCGTTTAGTGGGCAAATGCCAAGAGCTGTGTCTTAACCAAAATTCCTTTCATTAACTTGAGTTCCTTTTCTTATAACCCATCCCCGTCCCCCCCAGCAAGGCCTCATCACCTCTTAATTACTGCAAGAGCTTTGTGACTTTTAGATGCGTCTCCCTTTTTCAACCCATCCTTCACAGTAGTTCCCAAGCAAAGCTTTCATATCAGTAATAATTTGTGACATCTGTTTGATCTGTACTTTCAGAAGAATACAGCCAGTGGGAAAAGGATCCGAAGGAGGGCAATTAGAGACATCAAGAAGAAGTAGAGACAACAGTGTAGTAACAGACTGACTGAATTACGACTCTGAAAAGTCAAAGCTTAGATGAGATATGACAGATGCCAATAATATAAGAAGAAAGGAAGGAAGTGAACACAGATAAGGCAGCAATTCAGAAAAATGCCATGAAGCTCAAAGGAGTGATGAGTGGAGAACTTTTAAAGGTCTAAAAGGAAAAGCAGCTTAATTGGATGAATAATAAACTTCTGAAAATTCTACTCTGTGAGATGCTAAGTATAAAAAACATGAATGCCTTCAAGATGGCTTTGGATAAATCTACAGATAATAGTCCTGTAAAGAATCATGAAGGGAAGCTTCTGTAATTTGGAATACATTTTAATTCTTTCGAGGTTAACATCATCTATATTAGTTAATAACTTCCTTTTTTAAAGGATACTCTGTGGCTATGGTTAGAGACAGAATCATAGGCAGAGCAGTTAAGAATCTCATCCCACCTATGACTCCGCCACCTACTATCTTGGTCAATTCACCTGTTCTTTCTAAGCTTGAGGTTGATATCTGCAAACTGGGGGAAATGATAATTCCTACCTCAGAGTATGATTGTGAAAATGAAAAAGATATCTATATCTATGTCTATATCTATATATCTCCATGCCTAGGACATGGTAAATATTGAAAAATAGTTAGAGATCTATGAACCTTCCCAATAATTTTGAAATAACGATGAGAACCAGGGAGCAGGAAAGGAAGGGGAAGGGAGGGGAAAAAGGGATTGTAAAAATGGAAATAAGCCGGGATATTTCAAATAAATACGTAGTGTAAGGAAAGCCAAACAAACTAAACATCAAAATTTCTCAGTTAACAGGAAAAGTGGAGATGAAAAATTAGTAGAAATGATTGAAACAGACAGTAACCAAATAATCTGACAAGTTAATGAATCCATTAGGTAACCCTCTGCAAGGAAGAAAAGACAAGATACAAAATTGTATGCAGATGTAACTTTTTTCCCCCAAGATAGTCCCCAAATGGTACTAGCGCTGTCACAGATAAAAGCGAAGGGAGCTCACATGCACACTGCTTTGAAGTCCCATCTCAGTGGTCCAGCAGGAAAAGAGAGGACCTCAATTCAAGGTAAATGTGGCCCATGAAGGGAGCATCATGATTGGATTTGTTTAATGTTACTTCCCCATTTCATAGAAATTTGATGTACTGATAGTTTAAGTAATTTATTTGAAACAATGATAATTTAAAAGAGAGTGAAAATAATGATAATAAAAGAAAATTGAATATTGTTAAGCCAGTGAAACCTCAGGCCTGACCTTTTGCTATTCGTCCACAAGCATACAGAGTTAATTTAGCAAGTTTTAATGGGAACATTAACTGCTTCGCGGTCAATCAGGCTGTGAAGCTCTTCCCTGTGCCAGCTCTGAAATGCGATGGTGGAAGACCAGCAAAGCTTGAGGCGTTTATTTCTAGCCATTTCCTGTGCCTGCCTGAAATTCCTCTTCATCAATCTCTTGATAGACTCTTAAAAAAAGCATTATCCTCTTCTTCTGACCTGGAGGAATTCTCTCCTTCTCTTTCAGACTCTGAGTATCAGTCACTCTTTAGTGTTATATCAGACAATTTGATAACCGTTCAGAGCTACAGTCCATATGAAGGGAGAAAAATAATTTTTTCCCTCCGATTCCCATCTAATAAAGTGTTCAAATGACATTTTGTAAATAATTTTATCAACCATGCTAGAGGGCTAGTGTCCTGTGGCCCACAAGCTGGATTCATGGATTTTTGCCATTCGCTCCCTTGGTGTCACTGGTCATCTGAGACTCTCTTGGCCTTTTTTATTTTTTTAAGGAAGGAGAAAATAGTGTGCTCAGATGTGGGAGGGTTAGCATAAAAAACGATGTTATCTTTAAAAGGCTTTTATATTTTTGCATAGGAGAAGATGTCATAAGCAGAAAATTTATTTTTATAATCCTGTTAACCTTTGATTTCTGACCTAATATTTATCAGGAAATTCTGTCACTTATAGAGAGCTATCATGTAATTTATATCAACAAGCTCAACTCTTCATCCACTGATGCCAGAGTAGTCTATCCAGTGAAATTCAAAATCGAGTAAAGTGTTATGTATATGAAGGAATTTAATAAATTGCAACACGATTTTCTTTATTTGCTTATTAGAAAATACAAAACAAAACAAAACTGTGGATTCTTTCCCAAGAACAAGTTCATGTAGTAATCAATAATCATCTGAAAACCCAAAGGAAAGAATAGAATACATTCTCACTAAACCAAACGGCTTCAAGATAAAGTGCTGTGATGAACGAAGAAGAAAACATTTAAAAATGTATCCATTGTTAGACGTGTTTTACAATCGTCCTTGTGCTTCTCTGGGTATAGTACAGAGAGGGGAATGTACCCTTCTTTGTGATTCAGAAACTTTTATTCTGAGAGAACAGCCTTTTGACCATCATTCCCTGTCATGGGAGTAATTACAAGAGAATGAGTTAAATCGATACTTACTCTAAACTAGTCCCCTGACTTTTTTTTTAAAGAAAAAAGTGGAGGTAAGCTTTTTATTTTGATATTTGTCTTTTAATAAAAAGCAATGAAATACAGTAAAAAAAAAAAAATCACCAATTAATTGCACAAGCTAGGTGATGAGTTCATTAATGTTTTATTTTTATCACCTTCTTTACTTAAAGTCTGAAAAGGTTTTTTTAAAGAATATAAGATTTGAACGAGTTGGAAGAGTGATTGGTAAGTGTTCTTGGCACATCAAAGAATGCGGGAAAAGTCAGAATAATAAAGGAGAAAAGAAGAAACATAGACTTGAAAACAGGTTCAAACACCACTGAGACCAGACTGAAGTTTCTCAACTCTGCTGACAGTAGAAACACCTGGGAAGCTTTTAAAACATACTGATGCCTGAGCCCCACTCTCAATGGTTCTGACTTAATTGGTCTGACTTTGGACCTGGGCATAGGTATTTTTAAAAGCTTTCCCTTCTTTTAATATGCAGCCAGCGTTGGGCATGCCCTGTATTAGGCCAGCACTTCAGGTGTGGTGCATGGGCCCTGAGGGTTCCTGAGACATTCCCACGTGGTCCATGAAGTCATAACACTTTTCATAATAATATTCAGGCATCATTTGCCTTTTCCACTGTGTTGACACTGGCAATGATGGTGTAAAAGCAATGATGGTGTAAAAGCAACGATGGATAAAACGGCTGCCACACGAGCATGAATCAAGACAGTGGCACCAAACTATGTAGCTGTCAACCTGTTTTTCACAATCACAAGCTTGAGGTTAAAAAAAAAAGCCAGTTCCTCTTAAGAATGTCCTTGATGAGGCAGAAAATAGTATTAATTTTTATTAAATGTCAACCCTTGAAAACGTTTTTTTAACGTTCTGTGTGACAAAATGGGGATTACACATAAAGTATGTCAGCTCTGTAGTGAAGTATGATGTTGTCATGAGGAAAACGTTGTGATTGTTTGAATTGTAAGCTAAAATTAGCCAATGTTTTTGTAAAAGATGTTTTATTTGAACAAATGATTAATAGGTAAGCTATAGTTATACAGATTTGGGTATTTGGCAGACATTATATTGAAAATGAATAAAGCAAGCCTGGTACATCAAAGGAAAACAACCATCAGTAGGTGTCATCAGTGATAAAATTTGAATTTTTACGTGAAAATTACATTTTGGAATACTTACCTTCACAACAGTGAGATTTAACAGCATCTCACAAGTACCTGACTTTTCTTATGAGATCGGTAGTTATAATAATAAATATTACTTTTTGGTATTGTATAATGAAATCATAAATATTTGTAAGAGCTGCATAAATCAGTTACTCAATATTTTCCAGATGACCAATGCATGATGTTGCAATAGCACACATGGGTAAAAGATGCTTTCAAGTACAAGATAAGCCAATGGATTTCAATGTAATAGAGTAAAAGAAGTTCATTGATATGGTATCAATTCCTATGTTGCACATAGCATTTAAGAAATTATCACTTGTCAAGATTTGGTGTTGTATCAAAGAAGAAAATCCCAAATTAGCTGATGAGACAATTAAAATACTCTTCCCCTCCCTTTTCCAAGGACACAGCTGTGTGAGGCCACAGTTTCTTCTGGAACTTCAATTAAAAGAACACATTGCAACATGGAATTCAGAAAGAGAAACAAGAATCCAGCACTCTTTCTCTAAGCCAGCCATTAAAGAGCTTTGCAAAAATGTAAAGTGATACACCACTCTTCTCACTAAATGTGTGTTTGTTTTGAAAAATCTAGTTATTTTTCACAAAATATTTTACGTTAACATGTAATGGGTTTATTATGTTTTACTTAATAAATAGATGTTTATAATGTCTCCATTTTAAGTTTTAATACGGTGAATATTGATAGATGTAACACGCACCTACATTGTGGTTCTCAGAAATTTTTAACCGTGTGTAAGTGGTCCTGAGAACAAAATATTTGAGAACTGCTGCCCTAAACCAGAGGCAGGTAACAAAGCCCGGTCAGACGACTGCTCTGACCGATACTAAAATCCCAGAGAAGCCAGGAGAGTGTTGAGGAACCATGTGACATTGTCAAGGGAAAGTGACAGACCAGGCACGAGAAGACTGAGACCTGAACCCGAGCTTTGATTCGGATCTGTGGAAAGGAAGATGCAAACATTCTGACTGCTCTAGAAGAAAGTATTCTGATTTTTAAGGCAAGGAGTCAGAATTCACTCTAAGAGTTTGTCTTGGGGTGACTGCTACTGATACATACACCCCATGGTTGTTTAAGGGGTTGGGAGGCCTGGAGGAAGAGCATTAGAAATTAAGTCCTGCTTTGCTCTGGTGAGGTTCTTCCTGCCCCCAAATTCTTTGTGATAATTTAAGATAGCCTGTCTTATTTTTAGGATTTTACTCTCTGTATGAGGCTCTCTGAATACATGCATTCAGTTCTATTTATTGTGTCGGTCTTGAATGTGTTATATGATGTATGTTCACGGGTTAGACATCTCTGGGAGCGGGAAAGAGAAACTGGCCATGGAGCTCTTGAGTGGAGTTTGAGGCCCCTCAGCCTGGGGTCTCAGAGCACCAAACCATGCTCCAGGAAGGGCAAAGACTTCGGGAGGTGAGCTCAAGATTACCGAGAATAAGACAAGTTTCGACCTTTGGGATACGATCGGTTTTGCAGAAAGCTGAGCGTGTTCCTTTACTCTGGGATTCTTCACTGGGTTTGATACATTTTCAAGAGCTGACTGGCTTGCTGCTTGTTTAACCCTGCTTCCTATGAAGTGCTCCTTGAAAATCAAATTGCCATGTTACACTTGCATTGTGTGTTATGCCTGGAGTGTTGTCCTTTGAAATAGATTGGTCAGGGCTGCTATTCACAGCAGAGCAAAAAGCAACCAGCTTGATATTGACACTGAAACTGTGCTCTCCTGGAGAGAATGCCAAAGTAAGTTATCAGAGACTACTCTTGAAAAATAAAAGAGCTGAGTAGGAAACACACACACACACACACACACAGCCCTCTCTCCTTGACTAAACACGTCTTCATTCAGCGGGAGTACTCACATTCTCAGGCACAGCTGAAGAGTTCTCCTTCTCAGAACGTTCTCTTCTCAGAACGAAGGCAACATCTCCCTGACTTCTCATTTATAGCTTTGCTTCCGACCCTTCTGTGCTAGTCATATTCATGCATCCTTGTCACCTGGCATTGGATGTGTAGAGGCTGCCTTTGTGGCCTCCAGGAAAAGGACATTCACTCCAGTTCCTGAGGGACAGATATACAAAGTCAGCTTTCAAGAAATTTGCTAACTGACGTGGACTTCTTCATTCTGTAATCCCATTTGGGGGAAAATAATTTCAAACTGGCCTCAGATATTGGAAATGATAATATCGAGTTCCAAGAGGTCAATATTGTCCATCAAATATTCTTCTGAGAAAGGCGACGCTGAAGGCACTATCATGGACCCAAAAAGCTACCAACACTTTAACTTCGTAACATAGCAGGACGTTTAATGAATTTATTACCAGTGGTCTTGAATACCTGAATTAATAGCATTATTGTGACATCATAAAATTTTATGAAACGACCTGATCAAAATAAAGGTTTCTTTTCCAACTTATTCCTTATAAGAGATTTTCTGATCATCAATTAAGACTTTGGAGTTGGTCTCGGGACATGAATCCACCACCTTCTCCTCAGGTTGCCGGCTTCTCTGATTAAAGCACCTTTCCTTTCTACTGACACTTGCTTCTCGAATTATTGGCTTTTGAGTGGCCAGTAGCCAAACCTGAGTTCGGTAACATTTTGATGATATTTGTGTGGAGAAGGGAAGGAGAAGAATCTATCCTTCTCAACGATAAGTGCTTTGGTTTTCTTTAGTCTAAAACATCTTCATTCCTTTCAATATTTTACTTGAGATCGTTCAAGGTTTCAGTCAATAGAAACGTCTCAAGCATCGCGCTGTTGTCATAAATCACTTGAATGGTTATATTTTACGGCTCCGGCCGCTTGAGTGTTTATCGTAAAGCACCAAGTGCAATAATTTCCGTTTTTATAATTAACGAAAACATCTGGAAAAATAATTCTAGTTGGTAAGGCAAGAGTGAATGCAGCGTATTCTCAAAATGCTGTCAAAGTTCTTAAGTGTCACGCCCTGTTGTGAACACATTTTAATTAGAAGAGCAAAGGGAACGTACTTACTAAAAGCGGAGTCACCGACACTTTAACGTTGTGGTGAGCCACCAGTAACAAGAGGCTGCTTGGCCATCTTACGAATGCCCTTCTTTTCAATGCACAACTCTCTTTTTTGGTGCATTTTTCTATAATTTTCGAAACACTTCCTCAGTCTTAACTCATTAAATACTTCCTTCATGAGGGCAATTAAGCCTGAATTTGGGTCTCCCAGTATAATTCTGATGACAGTATTTAACAATTATACTGGTCTCCCCAAATCTCTCCTAATCTCCAGCTACCCAGTACTCATATCATAACCTTAGATGTAAGAGAGTCATCCAAGTAGTTCTCAGCCATGGTGCTCAAATACCTCACTTTGGAAATGCCCCATTTTCACATTCTTTATATACACATTATTCTTGAACTTGTTTTCTCATCTGTGGAGTGATCATAATAAAATCTATTTGTATATGTATATTATATCAAATACCATATTGTATACCTCAAATATGTAAAATTTTTATTTGTCAATTATACCTCAATAAAGCTCAGGGGAAATCTTAAAAAAAAAAATCACAATTATACTTGTCTCAGACCTAACCTATCTACATCTTTTATTCTTTAGTTTGACTCTGTTATCTTCCTGAACTTTTATGTCTATTCATTCTTCATTCTTTAAAGAATACAGTCTACTTTCTTGTTATACTAGACAGCAGTTTGGCTGTGCTCTTTTTCCTCCAAAATTTCTCCTTGCTCCCAAGGCCCCAGGTAGTTAAGTTATCCTTGACCTGAACTGACCATCTTCCCCTCTGCCTTTTCCCCTGTCATGCACCCTTGAACATTTCTAATACATGCCTTACCAGAGCCTTGCCTATGCTGAGATTCTTAGTTATATCTTAATCATTTTCTATATCAAATACTACCTCTACCTCATTTACAGCCCTCTTAAATCTTTAATCTGTGAGTTTCAGAAGATCTAGGATTCTGCTGCTACACCGTTAGCTCTGCATTTTTCAAAGCTCTATATTCTCGACCTTTTCCTATAATCATTAAAGATTATACCTCAAGCCTTTTTCATCCTTTTTTTTAAAAAAAACTCTCAGTTACCAGCTCACTTGGTTTATTCTTGATATCTTTTAAACTTTCTTATACTCTACTCTTGAAATGGTCCCATAAAAAAAAAAATCGCAATACAATGTACGTAATCTCCATTGTGTTTCTGTGAAGTTTACTCTCACAGTATTATTCAACATATAGCAGTTGAATTCCTATAGTCTGTGCTAGAAAATGGATGGGCACTGCATATAAAACGTTACGCTGCATATAGGGCATCTGCCATTACGTGTTTACCGAACTGATTCCTCAGTGTCATCATTATGAACCTAGATTCCTATTCGAGGCTGTAATAAAGGGTTGACTTTACAACTGAATGAGACAGTAAGGCCCCTTAACATTTTGAATTCTTGATCTCTGCTTTTTGTGGTTTCCTGCATTTCTCTGTGTCTTCTTGCTTTTATCAGTGTGGATACCAAGAAGCAACCTCTCTCCCTAACTCTCATTTCTGCTTTGGTCTCCCGAAGTCTGGAATAATAGACATTTATAATGAAAATAATGCACAGAGTAAATAGGCTGAGAATCTGATCCTCATTTTTAAGATGGCAGGAGTTCACCCCGAAAATAAGTTGTGGAAATTTAGTGCCTAGACTTGGGGAGCTGCACTTTATCTCCATGTTTTGCTTATTCCATGGTGCTCTACTTCTGTATGACTTGGATACACAGGTTCAAAATGCAGATGTCATGAAATCTGTTAGTGAGGTAGCTAAGGGTGTGCTAAACATTTATTCACCCCTAAGATGCGTGTGCCGTGGCCACTCCTTCAGGTGAAGAGAGTAATAACTTAGGGGCAGACAGTAGGCAAGGGAGCAAGAGGAGAGTGGTTGGTGGTCTCCACAAGCCCCCCCCCCCCCCCCCCCCCCAGTTATCTGCCACGTGTGGTTAGTCCAGGGGAGGACAGGAGAGCCCCTCCCCCACCCCACCCCCTGCCGGCGAGTTTGAGATAAAGTTGTCCTCCAAGAATAAAATTAGGAATATTCAAAAAGGTAATGGATGAGATTAGTTATCTGTGGAAATGACATACCTTAAGGAATAGTCAGAAAGATTATGTGGAGAAATTTAGAAACACCCTGAGGAATTTGACAAGGGCAGAAACTTGATTGTATCCGTATATTTCCAGCAACAATCGAAACAAAGTAAATGGATGAAGCTGTAACACAATCAAGCAGGAAGCTAATCTGTTACAGTGAATAGATTAAGTGCTCTAATCACAATCAATTGTACCGTAACCCACCTGAAGAACGAAGGTACTAGCGGGTGCTGGGGGCTGGAGAGCCCAGGCAGCCAGGATTTGTCTGTGACCAGCTCCCTCCACCAGGAGAAGGGCAGCCTCAGCCTCCACTTCCAAACTGAACCCGGGGCTGTTTCCATAGCAATTTGTATTTCAAAGGCTTAATTCACATGTAGATTTGCCTATGGGGAGAGCGAGCTTATCAGCAAAGCAGACTTCCCTATCAGTTTGGTGGCCAAAGGATTGCATTCTTAGAATTAAAATAACAGCCAAAGAGCAGTCGGTAAAACTAGTAAAGTAAGAGGATAATGTTAATTCAACAGCCGCTACGGAACGCCTACCATATTGAAGCCGATGGCCTAGGAGCTGGGAATCCCACGTTGAATAAGAGAAGACCCGTGCCTGCGTGGAGGGTTACGTGGAGGAAGACAGACATTAAACAATTATCCAGTACATTATTTTGTTACAATTGTGATTATTTCTAGGAAGAAAATACACAGGATTTACTTGAACAGAAAAAAACAAAAAACCCACAGAGGGCCCTGAACTGATCTGAGGTTTAGAGAAAGCTTTTATGAGGACCCCTTTGGTTGATTTACGCTTGTCTATATTACAAAGGGGAAAGGGATGGAGCAAGATGAGAATACACACAAGTTGAGGGAATAAAATTAGATTAATACTGTGCATATAGTGGTGACAGTAAGTAGCTCAAAAATGACCTGTGACAAAACAATTATCCAGAGAGAGACTATTTAGAAGACCATTGCTAATATTCCTCCAAGAGAGGCTTACAGAGTGATCCACATTCCGGAGATGATGTACTCTTCAGAAGTGAACGCCTTCCAATATATTTAGACCAGACAACAGCTTTGAAGATTTTACACCCCTGGAGTTGACCCGGAATCAGAATTACCTATGCTCGCTCCCGAAACAAAATGAAGAGTTCTGGAGACGTGTTCTGGACGCACGCAGCCCCTTTGTAGAGCGCTGGACAATGGCTACAGCGGACAAGGTCAATTTGGGGATGCAAAACCGGAAGACATAAAGGTGGAATGACTGCAAAGTGATGCTGAAATAGAGCATTCTCCTGTAATTTCCTATTCAAGGCAGAGAAGGGTTACTGAAAAGTTTTAGATCAACCAAGCACATGCTCTAAGTGGGTCTCAAGGGCGCTCGAGCAGAAGCCGCGTTACCCAGGAACATGTTAGGAGTGGGGTGCCGGCACATAAAACATGGGGCACCAACATGCTGCGCTGTGTAAGAGAGAGGAGAGACAGCCCGCATGTGTCAGCTCCGCGGTCAGAGATCACAACAGAAAGGGAGCCGCAGCAGATGAAGCAGCAAATACGTGACTCGAAAAACTGTCCCTCGTTGCAAAAACACAGAGAAAATATCTTGGGGAGATGCTCCAAGGACTGTCAAGAGAACCAGTCTTACCAGGGCTAAGATTACAAGGCATTCAGCTCTGATTCTTTAAGTCTGTATCCCTTAAACTTGTATTGAGAAATTATTTGTTTAGAGTGTGATGCAAAATGTTATGGGGGGTTTACCAAACCCCGCCTTTTAGAAGTTTACAGTTTCCCATATGCAAGATTTGGTGCCAAGGCAGCTCAACAGAAAGGAAATCAGTACAAGAGAAGATGGAAGGAAGGAAGGAAGGAAGGGAGGGAGGAAGGGAGGGAGGAAGGAAGGGAGGAAGGAAGGAAGGAAGGAAGGGAGGAAGGAAGGGAGGGAGGGAGGAAGGAAGGGAGGGAGGAAGGGAGGGAGGGAGGGAGGGAGGGAGGAAGGAAGGAAGGAAGGGAGGAAGGGAGGGAGGGAGGAAGGAAGGGAGGAAGGAAGGGAGGGAGGGAGGGAGGGAGGAAGGAAGGAAGGAAGGGAGGGAGGGAGGAGGAAGGGAGGGAGGGAGGGAGGGAGGAAGGGAGGAAGGGAGGAAGGAAGGAAGGAAGGAAGGAAGGAAGGAAGGGAGGAAGGGAGGAAGGAAGGGAGGGAGGGAGGAAGGAAGGGAGGAAGGAAGGGAGGGAGGGAGGGAGGGAGGGAGGAAGGGAGGAAGGGAGGAAGGAAGGAAGGAAGGAAAGAAGGGAGGAAGGGAGGGAGGAAGGGAGGAAGGGAGGGAGGGAGGAAGGAAGGGAGGGAGGAAGGGAGGGAGGGAGAGAGGAAGGGAGGGAGGGAGGGAGGAAGGGAGGAAGGGAGGAAGGAAGGGAGGAAGGAAGGGAGGAAGGGAGGGAGGGAGGGAGGGAGGGAGGGAGGAAGAGAGGGAGGAAGGAAGGAAGGAAGGGAGGAAGGAAGGGAGGGAGGGAGGGAGGTAGGAAGGAAGAGAGGGAGGGAGGGAGGGAGGAAGGGAGGGAGGGAGGAAGAGAGGGAGGAAGGAAGGAAGGGAGGGAGGGAGGGAGGGAGGAAGGAAGGGAGGGAGGGAGGGAGGGAGGGAGGAAGGAAGAGAGGGAGGGAGGGAGGGAGGAAGGGAGGGAGGGAGGAAGAGAGGGAGGAAGGAAGGAAGGGAGGGAGGGAGGGAGGGAGGAAGGAAGGGAGGGAGGGAGGGAGGGAGGAAGGGAGGGAGGGAGGGAGGGAGGGAGGGAGGAAGGGAAATTCTAATGGACTGTGTACAAAGGGAAGGGTTCAGTTTTTTCTCTAGGTCTCTAGCTTCTGAAATCTTAACTTTAGTGAAACATTGTTTTCTTCTTAGTTCCCATCCCCTGTGAACTGTTCACTTGACATTCAAGACAGAATATTTCACACTCCAAGATAAAGACTATTTGTTTTGTTTTCTTCTAAAAGTCTATTGGGGAGTTTTAATCAAGGAGACTTCACGGGAGTTTTAATATGTATCAAAGTGAGGGGATCCCATTTTAAATAACTATGTAGGGAACCAATCACTGACCCCATAGCGGGAAGGTAGAAAGAAAAGGAGGTTTAAAAATGATGGACGGGAAACACTGCAGAGTGAGGACTGGACTGCTTTCAAAAGACACAAGAGGAGAAAACAACTGAAAATCACCTGCAAAGAGACTGGCATGCATAATTATTTACTTATGCAAACACTTAATGTTAAAACCCCTTCAGAACCACAGTATTTTAGACTTGGAAAGGGATTTTAGAAATCTTCCAGTATAACCTCTTCGTTTAATGGCTGAAGACCCCGAGGTCCATGAGAAGCTCAGTATCTTGGCAGAGCGAGACATTATTTAGCGGCAATTATTCTTACCATTTAGAGGCAGGGCTGGAGTTAGAAACTAGGCAGCCTGACTCCCAGTGCATTCACTTTTTTTTCCAACCTCACATCCCCATTTCACTTCAGATTAATTTACCTGTTAGAGCACACTTAAAAAAAATTGTCACGTGTTTATTCTAGTATATTAGATTAAATGTTTTCTAAAACACATGCAGATACTCTGCTCCAGAACAGTGGTGCACAAACTTGAGCCTGTAGAGAGGTTACCTGGAGAGCTTGTTAAGGGCCTGCCTGGGCCTCCAGCCTGGAGCATTTACCAAGCCCTAAGGCGATGCTGATGTTGTGGGTTCACATTTTTATCAGCACGTTTCCTAGCACTGGCCCTAGGGGACAGACAGTAGTTACAGTAACCATTCTTGGAAATCTGGATGAGAACAATCAACAACTTGCAATGAGTGAACAACACGGGGAAAAATGACCAGCGCCAGAGTTACTTGGTTAGCTCTAGCCATCGATCAGAGGCGTCATCAAGAGCCCCTTTCCAGGCCAAAGCGCCTTTTACAAACCTTTCTCTCTGCCTACAGCCGCCTCCTGCATGCCACCTGGCACACTCCTCATCCCCAGCCTTGCCTCCTGGTGTCTTTCAGGTTGTCATGGGAGTTCTCTCCCCTATTTTCTCTTCGAACCCGGTATCTCTGACACACTGAACTGTGACTGCGATTGAACGCTCACTTCAGCCTCGCCCAGCAACAGGCACAGAAATAACATCTGTTGAATGAATGCTTTCATAAATGAGGATAACTCGAGAGAAAACAAATATAAAATACATATGATAGAACTAATTCGCTGTGAGTGAAATTCATGGTTCTTAGTTGTATGTTTATGATCTTTTATTTACCTATGTATCCGTCTATCCATCTACCCATCCATTTTATCCTTAGTAGGCCTATAAATAAAATGAAAACTTCTGTCAAAAAACAATAAGCATGTGAACATGTGTAAATGTAATTTCACGGGATATCAAATCTTTAATGCAAGTATTCGGAAAGTACCACCCCGAAGTTTAGCACCATTGATGATAATACATTCATTCATTGCTGTACTATCTCCCCTAGAGATGGGATTTTACAATGTACCTTCTCCTCTAGTGTCTGAGATTACAATGGGGAAGAAAACCTTTGATAGAACCTGAGGTCCTTCTAAGCACATCCAGCCTTGCAGGAAGTCAGGCACTGAATTTAGTTGATGACGTTCCTGGCAGGACCTAAGCACCTTACAGTATACTCATTTCCATTTTAAGAACTCTGAAAATTTTTGGAATTTTGTCTTGTTATTAAATGTATAATCTCATATTTCTCTGGACTTGTATGGAACACACATAATTCTTTTTCCTATCAGCCCCTCAGATTTCTAGATTGTTATCATGGTCTATCCAGCATATTGCCTTTAGTTAAAAAGGGATAGAAAAAAATGAAACTGTGTTTTTTGCATTTTTTAATTTAAGAAAATACTTATCAAGTACATTTATTAATTCAAATGCAACTATATATTTACTGTATATATCATCATTCAGATACATGTCTGAATATAATCTCATTCAGAAGGGATATATGGGAATAATAAGCACTCATTAAGAGAACTTTACAAATTGATTTCTGTCTTATCCTATTTCAATTTCCAATTTTACAGGAGCCTTTTGGTCATCGGTAGTATCCTTGCTTCCATATTTCTCATTTATAGAATTATATCCACATGAACATTAGGCGTATTATCAGAAGAAAATTGAAAGTGGCCATCTGCCATCCAGCCTTAGAACCGTCCTTGATTTTATTTCATGGTGACACTCCCGCCCAGTTCAAGACATAGCTGATAGACCTCCCTTCCACTTGAGGTCTCCATGTCTGTTAAAAAATGAGATACTTGAGTTTATGCAGCTGTTCACGAGCTAATTATCTGCAATCACTTCTGATTACTTAATAGGCCGTGGTAGGATGTGTGTTTGCTGCTGTGCGGACTTTACACATTAGGTTTTAATGCGCTGATATGGTTAGTTGTTGTGCTCACTGCTGCCTGCTAATAGACCATTCCTGAAAGCGAGACCATATCTCAACGGAATTTGCTTGGTTATTTAAATTAGTAATAACTACAAACTCAGATCCTAGATCTAGTGTTTACCATTTTAAGAACACACTTTTCTTTTTTTTTAGTGCTGGTCATTCCTAATGCATTCAAATTATTCAAGTTTGGAGAAAACGAGTTATTAAACTAATGAGTCCATAACCAACTCAGATAGTTAGATTTAACATTTTTCCTGCTCTGTTCAGTTTCCTAAATTGTTTCCTGCCATTGACAGCAAAATAAATTCTTTTTAAATGGAGCTAAACACTCTGAGTATAATAATATAATGAGAAAGATATATGCATATTAAAAGCAAATGAATATTTATTAATATGTAAACCAAGATGCCAAGGTGAGCGATTGGGAGTGATACAGAGATGTGCACACAGACAGTAGGTGGGGAATTGTTGTAATGAGACTGCTCATTTGCTTTGCAGTTTTGCATTTTATGATAGCATTTAGTCCAAAAGCTAGTGCTTAGTTTTAAAAATTTACAAGGCTGTTCTTTTGTTGACTATCCATATATTTGTGTTTCTGATGGCTAAAAATGGAGGCATAGTGTCCGATAGATGCTTTAGACATTTCTCTGTCTTTCCCTTTCTGTTCATAAGATCTCTTTTTTCCTACCATCACTTTTTCATTTCTTCATCTCTTTTAATTTCCTGTGTTTTCCACTCCTTCACTATTCTTTTATTAGAGAAGCAAATAGGATTTGAATAATAAATAGAAAGTATTTCAAGCCCAAAACCCTTGGCCTTTATTCTGCAACTTCCAAGAACAGTAGAGTTCATCCACTCTCCATGTGTTTGGGGGCCTTGCTCTGCCTTGTCAAGCACTGGATTCACCCCTTTAAAAATAGATTTCAGTGAATGGGACTCTATGCACTGCTGGGGCCCATCACTCTGGGTGAAACTTTGCGACCCCATGACCTGCATTCCCAGAAACACTATATGCAGTGCTTCCATGTGCTCAAAGCCAGAATCTCTTCTGCAGTCAAAGAAATAGGGAGAGAAGGGGATGCGAGTGATTGTAGTTGATGAAGATTTATACTCGCTGTTGGGATATATGATTTCTATCTAGAAGAATGGATGCCTGGATTCCTATGAACCTACGGCTCTCTCAGTTCTTCATGAAGGAAGGCTTTTCATAGTTCCTTCATGTTTTGTGTTCCTAAGTCTCTGATGTGTCACTGGAAACTTAAAACTGAGTCCACCGTCTTCTTCCTAATACCTTCCTTATGAAGTTCCAGGCTCTCCGTTCCCCAAACACGACCACACTTCCTCCTGTCCCCACGCTTTCCTCACATTGCTCCCTTCCATCCCGAGTCCTTCTCTGTCTGGTGAAATCCACACCCTTTTTTAAGGCCATTACCAGTGCTACTTCCTCCCTGAAACCT